ACTTTGCAGTGCATTTCTTCAATTCTAGGAGTGACTGGAAAGACTCACTATGCATATAAACATTCAATTTAGCAAATTTAGGAACAGACTAAATATATGCCTATAAAAGAATGAATAGTAATTTAGAGTATTACCATATAATGTAATATTGGATAGACATTTAAAATCACAGTTCTATCATCTATGTGTCTATGTTGAAATATGCTTACAACATTTGTAAATAAACAAAATTTTCAGTGCATATATGTTAAAATTATAATACACAAGTTATTTGAAAGCAAATAAAATTTGAAAACAGTATATTTGTAAAATAAGAAATTATATATGATTTCCTTTATTATTGTTACTATTGTCATTGTTATGGTGACTGACATATGGTGCATGGTTTAAAAGAGAAAAAATTAAAAGGAAATTGAACCATATAATGTACCTAATCTGGAAGTTTTACAAAATATGCTGCAGCTGAAAATATAGTATATGCAACAATCATAGTGCTAAACAAATGCATATGTTTACCCTTTGGTTACTAATTCCTCAAGGGTAACTTCTTCCTTACAAAGAGTTTTTCAGAGATCCACCTTTTGTTCTGAAGTGGAAGTGTATCACTTCCTTGGTTACATGCAATCCTTAATTTTCCCAAAGGGAAATTTCCTAAAACTATTCTTTCTTGATTTTCTTCCTCTCAGGTTGCTCCTGCACGGTCTCTGGTCTCCTTTGCAGCCATTCTTCCTTTTTCCATCCCTGAAAATCACTGTCCTCTGAGGTTCTGTCCTTGAACCACTTCACTTTTCATTCTATACCCATTCTAGGCAAATTCATCAATTTCTGTGGATTCATTTACCACATGGTTACATACTGATGATTGTTTTTTTTTTCTTTTTTTTACATCTTTATTAGAGTATAATTGCTTTACAATGGTGTGTTAGTTTCTGCTTTATAACAAAGTGAATCAGTTATACATATACATATGTTCCCATAGCTCTTCCCTCTTGCGTCTCCCTCCCTCCCATCTTCCCTATCCCACCCCTCCAGGCCGTCACAAAGCACTGAGTTGATCTCCCTGTGCTATGCAGCTGCTTCCCACTAGCTATCTACGTTACATTTGGTAGTGTATATATGTCCATGCCTCTCTCTTGCTTTGTCACAGCTTACCCTTCCCCCTCCCCATATCCTCAAGTCCATTCTCTAGTAGGTCTGTGTCTTTACTCCTGTCTTACCCCTAGGTTCTTCAGGGCATTTTTTTGTTTCTTAAATTCCATATATATGTGTTAGCATATGGTATTTGTCTTTCTCTTTCGGACTTACTTCACTCTGTATGACAGACTCTAGGTCTATCCACCTCATTACAAATAGCTCAATTTCGTTTCTTTTTATGGCTGAGTAATATTCCATTGTATATATGTGCCACATCTTCTTTATCCATTCATCTGATGATGGACACTTAGGTTGTTTCCATGTCCTGGCTATTGGAAATAGAGCTGCAATGAACATTTTGGTACATGACTCTTTTTGAATTATGGTTTTCTCAGGGTATATGCCCAGTAGTGGGATTGCTGGGTCATATGGTAGTTCTATTTGTAGTTTTTTAAGGAACCTCCATACTGTTCTCCATAGTGGCTGTACCAATTCACATTCCCACCAGCAGTGCAAGAGTGTTCCCTTTTCTCCACACCCTCTCCAGCATTTATTGTTCCTAGATTTTTTGATGATGGCCATTCTGACTGGTGTGAGATGATGTCTCATTGTAGTTTTGATTTGGATTTCACTAATGATTAATGATGTTGAGCATTCTTTCATGTGTTTGTTGGCAGTCTGCATATCTTCTTTGGAGAAATGTCTATTTAGGTCTTCTGCCCAATTTTGGATTGGGTTGTTTGTTTTTTTGTTATTGAGCTGCATGAGCTGCTTATAAATTTTGGAGATTAATCCTTTTTCAGTTGCTTCATTTGCAAATATTTTCTCCCATTCTGAGGGTTGTCTTTTGATCTTGTTTATGGTTTCCTTTGCTGTGCAAAAGCTTTGAAGTTTCATTAGGTCCCATTTGTTTATTTTTGTTTTTATTTCCATTTCTCTAGGAGGTGGGTCAAAAAGGATCTTGCTGTGATGTATGTCATAGAGTGTTCTGCCTATGTTTTCCTCTAAGAGTTTGATAGTTTCTGGCTTTACATTTAGGTCTTTAATCCATTTTGAACTTATTTTTGTGTGTGGTGTTAGGGAGTGATCTAATCTCATACTTTTACATGTACCTGCCCAGTTTTCCCAGAACCACTTATTGAAGAGGCTATCCTTTCTCCACTGTACATTCCTGCCTCCTTTATCAAAGATAAGGTGACCATATATGTGTGGGTTTATCTCTGGGCTTTCTATCCTGTTCCATTGATCTATCTTTCTGTTTTTGTGCCAGTACCATACTGTCTTGATTACTGTAGCTTTGTAGTGAATTGAGATGACTTCTGTCCACATTTGAGTAGGGTTTATATTGTCTAAAACTTCAAATTTCTACTTTTAAGTAGCTCTCTGAATTCCTTTTGGAGATATTGATTTCCTCTATTGTATGTAGTCTTAGTGTGAGGGCATGTACACATACCTGGTTTCCCACTAAGGAAGCTCAAAGAACCAGATCCTAGTTCTTCATGCTTTGTTATAGCCAACATGACCCAAGCTTGACAATCAGATCTTCTCTCCTGGAATTGTAAATCTTTACTGAGTAACCCCAATGTGGAGAGAAGTTTAGATATTATGGTCCAGCCACTGTGTAGGGTTCAGACTATTCCAGCTAGCTGCCCTTGCTGTTCTATCTTCTACCATTCAGAGCTACCTTTTAAATTCTCCTTGAGTTCTGAATCCTCCTCTCCAATAACATTTTGCTTCAGATAGCCAGAGCTGGTTTCAAGGGTTTGTAACCAAGGACCAAAAACATCAGGTGTTTGAAAAGCCCCTGATTCCTTAGTTTTAGAACAAAAATAGAGAAATTTAGATGCAAAGAGAGAAATGGCAACCATAAGCCTAAAAGTGGTGAAATTTCAAATTAGGCACTTACCTAGTCTTTCTCTGACCACATAGGTGTTATTATTTCACCAATACCACCAAGAACTGAATAATTTTATGTTACTCAGGCCCTCCCATAACATTACACCCCCTAAAAATCCACACAATCCAGTCACTTTCCTCTGCTACATCCACCAAATTCTAGGTGTCCTATGTCTCTCACTGGCATAATTCTAAAATCTTCTAAGTTACTCAGTCTGAAAAAAAAATTATTGAGTATGGAAAATCAAGTTAGATCTTGATAAGGAGTAATTAGGTGAAATACTACCTTTACCAAAATCTAGGATTTAAAACAGGTGAAGTTATGATTTTTGGTAAAACCCCATTATTATATCACCCAAACACAGCTACATAGGACTTCTCTATTATATGTCTTTTTTTTTAACATCTTTATTGGAGTATAATTACTTTACAATGTTGTGTTAGTTTCTGCTGTATAACAAAGTGAATCAGCTATACATATACATATATCACCAAATCCCCTCCTTCTTGCATCTCCCTCCCACCCTCCCTATCCCACCCCTCTAGGTGGTCACAAAGCACTGAGATGATCTCCCTGTGCTGTTTGTTTCATAAATTTTGTAGACTTACATATCTTCAGTAATAGTCCAAAAATTTCCATATTTATAGCCCCCTTCATTTAGAATATTAGATGAAAGAGAATAATGTCACAAAATTAAGCAAAGTAACTGAAAGTGATGAAAAAATCAATGACTATAAGTTAATCAAATCTTACGGTGGAATAAAAAAAAAAGCCACAACTAAGGAAGATAAAAAATTAGAGGAATGCCTTTTCACAAATGTAACTTCATAGTTCATTTTACTTCTTTTTATTCCCCTTTGTGTATTTCTCCCCCTCTTTTCTTTCACTGTTTCTTTCTCTCCTTCATTTTAGAAATTTTCCTTCCTTATTTCTGTTAACACTGGTGTACAAAATGATCAAGTCTAATGGGCATGTGGTCTCAAAAACCTTAACCTCTAACTAACTAAAATATGAATAATTATCAATAAAACTGAAAGTCTTGATTCACTACTTTTTGAAAAGTTTTGATAACTTTTTTGCCTGATATAGAGTGCTTTCATATTTAAAAATCTTATTAAACTGTCATATTCACCATATTGTTTTCAAGATGCCAAGAGATTGACAATTTCTTGATTTACATTTATTTTGAAACCCCTTTACACAAGTTATTGATTTTGTGCCATAATATCAGTAATATTCCAAAACACTTAAGGAAATTATTCCTATGACAATTCTCATTCTCCAATGTAAATTTACTTAAGTCAATGAAAAAGAGCTTTGACATTTTATTCAGGCGGTGCCTTCATTCTTGTGTTTTGCTTTCTTGCTCATTGCTTTCCTCTTTATTTATTTTTTTTGAGAGTCATTCATCAGAGAAAAGCTTGACCTCATTTCTGATGGCTTCCTTGGTATTCATCTCCTTCCTTATTACCTTCTGTCCCCAAATCAACAGCCCCAAACAAAATCTGCAAACTTGGCTTGATTAAAATATTTCCATTGAATGGACTCTGAAAGACTGTAAAATGTCTCAGGACCTCAGTTTCAGAAACTTTGAAGGGTCCATGATTTTATCCTACTTGTAACAAGATGGCCTGCCACAGTTCCAAGGATACCAACAGAAGACTGCAACTCCTGAACAGCAGACTAAAGCTTTGTTGGACGCAGGCAACCACAGGAGAGTATCAGCATTTGCACTCATTTCCCCAATTTTTACAGTGTTGTATGAAAAGGCACTGTATTACGGGGAAGAACTCTAAATGTAAGGAACTCAAATTTTTATAATGAGCAGTAAGTTTACCAGACTTCTACCCTGCAATGAAACATGATCTTTATTATAACTGGACAGACAACAGCTTGCCCTTTATTCTGAACAGAGACACTATCTCTGTCTTTCGAAGATGTTTACTTAAAAAAAAATATCCTTGGGAAGATGGTCGAAAACAAAGGCAGCCAGTGCCTCTACTTGCTGGACATGAGGAAAAGCAAAAGATCCATGGGGGACTGTCTCTCAATAATTAGTGAAGGCCCAGAGTGGGTATCCAAATTTTTCTGTGAAGATAGATTCTACCCCAAACATTTTTAATTTTCCCTCATTTTTAAACTAATCCTTATTTTTAACTTTATGTAGTCTCTGCCAAAATGAGTTCTGGATTTTAATATTGATTGGTGAGAGATTTATAGAAATAGTTGTTTGTTAGGCATATAGCACAGGCTCCCAACCCTTCTTCTCCAATATAAATGGGTAAAAGAAATAAAAGATAATATAAAGGAACAGTTATGCTTCTTGTTTGTTTGTTTGTTTGTGGGTTTGTTTTAAGAGAATAGAAATGGAAGCATGGAAAAATCATTGTATACCTGTATAAGATATAAGGTAAAGATTACATCCTACATTACCCTCTCCCCAAAATGTGAATGTGACATTAAAATAAGACACTATAAAACAACTATTATGTTCAAAAGAAATTGATGTTTAATGTTTAAATCATATATACAGTACAATTTAACATAAAGATTCATGTATAACATAAATTACAAATGAATGATAATTTAGATTAAAAATTGCCCTAAGTTATATGACGTTTTTATTGAATTAAAATACTGTAATATAGAAATTTGTTGGTTGTCCCCTTTCTGAGTTAAAAAAATATTCTAATTAGATGTCATAAAGCGGATACTGTTCAGCCTTTAAATATTTCATTGTTGTGTCTTTTTTCCTCTTTTTTTTTATTTGTGGTACGCGGGCCTCTCACTGTTGTGTCCTCTCCTGTTGCGGAGCTTAGGCTCCGGATGCACAGGCCCAGCGGCCATGGCTCAAGGGCCCAGCCACTCTGCGGCATGTGGGATCTTCCCGAACCGGGGCAGGAACCCGTGTCCCCTACATCGGCAGGTGGACTCTCAACCATTGTGCCACCAGGGAAGCCCCTATTTCATTGTTGTGAAGAACTCTGATAAACTGTACAACCTACATGATTGAGACAAGGACATTTTTAAGGACCATATTTGATATACCACAGAAGAGCCATTGTTTTCTAGATGATGGATGCTTCCTTGTCTTGAGTGACCTATCTTATATTATCCAGGATGATGCAGTAGCTTTAGGGCCAATGAAATGTCCTTGACCTCTGTCTTTAATGTCACCTTAAACAAAGATAGAGCTGAATATTTTGACTTCCTGTTTTGACTTAAAAATTTGTAACTCAGAAATAAATGTAAAGACTGAAACCAGAGAAAATAAATATATATAGTAATCTGAAATTAAAAAGTAGGAAAGCCAGGATCAGAACTGGGTGTGAGGCTAAAGATACTCCCTCTGAAGGTTTGGATGCTTAGGATTTTCCCCTTCGATTTTGGAAAAAATAATTTTACTGCAGAAATATGAGTTTTTTAACCCATTAGAGAAAATTACATTTATTATATCAACACAGTGAATAAAACAACATAAAATTATGATAAATATATATATTTTAATTTCAGAGACAATAAATGCAGAAAAAAAGAAACACCATACAATGAAAATTTGATTTGTTTGATTATCTAGTGTTTGAATACTTCTCAATAACAAACCCATCATAACATTAATATTTTGTGAAAATATGTCCACAAAATTAATGACTGACAAAGGTAAATATTTTTATGATTGAGTAAAAACTTACAAAAATATAAAAGCATTTCCCAAGAGAAAGACAAAAGATATGAAATCATTCTAAAGAGTAGACACGGCCAACACACATGTGGAAAGTGGCCCACCCTGCTTATAATAAGTAAGATGCAACTCAATATTAAAATGATACAATTTTTTGTTCATCATTTTATGAAATTAACAAAGACATAAAACCCCCAAGTCAGATAAATAATATTTGGTATAAAACTTATGGCCAAACAAGTACTTTCAAACATGAATTCTGCCTTTATAAATTGAAAATTCACTTTCTGAAGGGTATTTGGAAATATTAATCAAAGGTCAGAAATGTTTATACTCTTTGATCATGAATTTCCAATTCCTCTTCTAGAAATATATGCAAAAGACATTGCTAGAGGGTATGCAGTAAAATTCATGTACATGTGTATATGTTACAGCCATATGCATAAAGGCAGAAAACAAAACCAAACTCTGAAAATTAAAAAAAAGTCCTTTAAATTGTGATTAAATAAATTGTAATGTATCTAAAATACAGAAAATTGTGGCTCACAGAACCTGAAAAGAGCCCCAGGGAATGAAAAAGATTATATTCCATCAGGATTGGAAATATTCCAACCAAAGAAATACACATTTATCTCTTACATTTAGAGCTTTAAAGAACAGGATCAGTTGCTTAAAATTTGTTACATATTAATAATCTATAAAAATAACACTAGGAAAAAGTGATAATGACATAACAAAACCTGGGTTAAAAAAGTAGTTTATGGTCCCACGTGCCGCGGAGTGGCTGGGCCCATGAGCCATGGCCCTGGGCCTGCGCCTGCGAGTCCGGAGCCTGTGCTCCGCAGTGGGAGAGGCCACAACAGTGAGGGGTCCGCGTACCGCAAAAAAAAAAAAAAAAATAGTTTATGAAATCAAGGTAAGGTACTCTACACAAACACTTGTATATATAGTTAAAAAACATGTCACATTTTTACCAGTGACTTCTTATCTTTGGGTTGAGGGTTAATGAATTGTCTTTTCTTTTTTTTTCTCTTACTGATTTTTAAAAATTGTGTAAATATTTATTTAAATAGTTACTAAACTCAAATCTACAACTGTTCTATATTAAGTAAAATCTTGTGACTCAAACCTTATACCTCATTTTACAAGTTAAATGTCAGAAACTCTAAAACTGACTTTAATGTTTCAGTAATCTACTTGATTATAAATTTAAATAATAAAACAGAAATATGGTAAAGTCATTTGTTGGACTCTTATCTAGGACACAGAAAGCCTTTGGGGGTACATTTTAAAAATAAAGCACAGTGCTGAAGAGTGGGATTTCTGGAATAAAATGGCCTGGTTGAAATTCCAGCTAGCCATCTATGTATTAACCTGGAAAAGTTGTTCAACTATTGTAAGCCTTAGTTTCTTCATCTCTAAAATTGAAATAACAATAATATTTACTTTTTTGTGTTGCCATGAGAAAAATCCTAGTAATGAGAAAATCCTTTAAAAGTATTAACGCAGTGCTTGAGTGTCTGGCTTGTTAAAGTGCTCAGTAAATGCCAGCTCACACTGCTGTTGGAAGAATATGATTACATTTGAGAGTTGGCACCACAATAATCGATACATTGAGGAGAATGCCCTTCCTTGTCTCCTCAGGTGAGTGCTTAGAAACAAGGGAAGCTGGAGGCCAGGAACATAACCTGTGAATTGTTGGAGCATAGAGGGATCTAGTTCCTTTATCCTTCTCAGAGAGTTTCCAGGCAGAGGAAGAGGAAGGCCCTGGAGGTACTTGGGCTGAAACAATCCATGACAATCTTGATTTAAAACAACAAAAGGAAGTTACGACACCCAGGAAGAGCTGGGGTGAGGAGGAGTGGGGCAGATGTGAAGAACACTGTAGAGCTTCACCTCAACACTCAAGGAGAGGGAGCCAGCCTTTCAGGCTTCTGCCTTCCTCAAAAGGAGAATTTACAATTCTCAAAATTCAAGTTCAAATTCTTCCTTGTACTGCATGGTCTTCTATGTCCTGCTTGCTGCCTTCCTTTTCAACTGTATCACTCATCACTTTCCTGGTGATTATGGTACACTTCAAACCAAGACCATTAACACACCTTCCCACCTCCACACGTAACCCCCCTCCCCTGTTTCTGCATCTGAGTTCATACACTTGTACTCATCTCTCAGGACTCCTTTCCTAATCTTTTCATGTTGAGACTAACACTTGCTTTTTTGTACCTTCAACATTCTTGTGTTCCTCAACAATTATAATACCTTTCAATATATAAAATGTATTAATGTATAGATTTGTCTCCCCAACAGAATTATTTTTTAGTTTTAATTGCATGCCACTACACACTTGCCATTAGCACTTTCCTCATCTGTAAACCTCTCTTTCACTTCTCAACTTTCCAAATCTTACCCAAATATCAATAGTCACTTCAAATTTCAGGCCACTTCATTCCATCATATGATGTCTGTCTTCTGGACTTCTATTGTATTTTACTTATTATATCAGCCACTTAGAAATTAAATCCTGAAATTACTTCTACTTGTTAGATTTTAAATGACTTTTCATGTGTCTCTGTGAAATCTTTTCTACTCTACTACATTCTTCATCACTGTAGATTTTTTTTTACATCTTTATTGGAGTATAATTGCTTTACAATGGTGTGTTAATTTCTGCTTTATAACAAAGTGAATCAGTTATACATATACATATGTTCCCACATCACTGTAGATTTTAATCATCAACCATGTTCAAAAAATCTCCAGCCTGGAACATACCAGCTCCACAGCCCCACAATAGTCTTTTTCACTGGGTCTATAAAAATTTAATTATATTGATAGTAATCCCTTTCATCTCCTTTATTTCCAAGAAAGACAGACATTTGAACTTGAATCCCCCAGAAAAAACTATCTCATTTTATTACCTTCTCAAAAGGGGGAAGGTATCCCTTCTGTGTTGTCACCTGTATCTGGAGGTCAGAGGAGGGGAAGGAATTGTCATTCTGCTTCTACTTCCACTTCCTGTTACTTTTTCTACTAGCTTTATTCAAGTATCCTCCTTACCTTAAAGTCTCTGTTATTTTAAGTCTGGCCTATTTCTCATCTCACTGCTGCCATTTTCTATCCTTTAGGGACCCTAATGTGATCCTGATCCAGTGGTTTGTTCTCTGTTGCATCTTTAAACTCGCCATGATCCTGGACTATATCAGTGCCCACACAAATGGCCCAGTCAAATTCCTGATGTCTTTTGCTTCAGCAACCTTCACCTCACTTCACTAGTTTAGCCCCTATGGTCATCAACAAAAACTTTAAAGATTTTTAATCCTAAAATTTCCCTCTCTGCTCTAACATTTACACTTAGACACGTCAGTACTTCCATAAGAGTGGCAAACATTCTT